CTGAAGGAAAAATGGGTAGACAGTGTGACTGTGCCGATAATGACAGACACACAAGAAGAAAAAACAGTTTCTGGCATTCTTAAAGGAACAGTCAACCTAAAAAAAACTAATTCTGTTATTATTTATCAAAGTCATACAATCACTTTCTTTGAGGAACAGACTAAAATATAGGTCATTACTCAAGGTCTGTTGAGCTTTTAAAAACATGGTCAGGAAGTGGAACTCAAGAAGAATGATCACATTTGCCTCTGTAAAGCAACAGAGAGTTTTGAAGAGGTGGAATATAGAAAAAGCTTATTACAATTTATTTTTAATACAAATAATTAATCATTATTTTGAGTCCGTTTGTTGATTCCCCAAAGATCCTTTCAGTGAGCAAGGGCCAGTTGCATACACTTGGCCATTATGTTAAGAAGATCTAATATGACCTGCTAGCAGGTCAAGGGCAGTTGGTCTGTCTTCAATATCAAAATAGACCAACGTATGTTTTTATGTAACTGACTTAAACAAATTGATGACTAACCTGTAAGACTAGTCTTGGTGGTTGTAAGGTTGTAATCCACTGGAGACAAGTTGTAGTGAGAACCCATGTGCAGTATTTACTCAAAAACATAACAAGATCAAAACAAAAGCATGACGTGGCATGAAACAAAAACCCGTGGACATAGATTTACACAACAGAAGATCACAGAAAACAGTGGTTGACAAAGACACTTGGCAAACATGAGGGCTTAAATACAGTACACAGACTAATGACAGGACCAGGGACACCTGTGAACAATGAACAGACGATTAACCAATGCCAAGACACATGGCAGGATCACATGACAAACAGGGAATCACATGACAGACATGGAACATAACATGAACAGAACAAATCAAAATGTGACAGTGGTTTATGCAACTCCCAGGTCTTAAAATATATATTTTGTTCTCAGTCTGAATAACATAGAACTTTACATTCAAAATGTTCTATGGATATTAAAGATTGTTCATGGAATCATGGATGCCAATTAAGACCATTTTTTTGAAGAGCGACGATCCAGTTATAGCGGTTCTCAGGTTAACAATTCATTGGAAGAAAACCATTTTAGTGAATTAAATTTCAGTTTTTATTCAAAAGACTTGAGATATGGCAATAGATTCTCATGTTTCGGCTCTTCAAAGATCACTATGGTCAGGAAAAGACTTGTTAACATTTTTAAAAATCCTTTTGTGCTCCTTGAAATAAAGGCAGAACATGGGTTTAGATCAACATGAGGGTCAGTAAGTGACATGGTTTTAATTTTGGGTGAACTATTGCTTTAATCATTCCACTACAATCACTTTCTTTTATACTGTATACCAAACTGTAGACAGTCTCAACATGTTAGTGTGGTGGGATGGTTAAATATGGACTGAAAGAACTGGGTTTACAAGCTGGACACAAAAAGCAAAGCATATGTCTCTGAATAGGTTCGCTTTTGCATGTGAGGATCAGTAATTAAAAAACATGTTTGGCCACAATAGAAGGTGGAAAGCAATTTCAGAAATATAGATTTAGGCAAGTCCGTATTTACATGTAATTTTGTTTTACAATCCTTTTGAACTGACCACAACCATTGGGCAGGAAATTTTAGAACATTTTGGTTTTGATTACAGGCTCTTTGTTGGACGAAGAGGAATGTCTCTCAGCCTCTATGTGTGCGGAGTCATTTTAAACTGACGGCAGGAGAAATATTTACTTTTGTCTTCTTGGCGAAATCCATTCATCCATCTCCATTCCTTTGCACCTGGGTTTCTATGGACACACACACACACACACCTATGAACCCTGCTGACATGATTAATCCTGTCTGATAACGTCAGACTAGAGCGCACACACATCAACAACATCTGCGCCATGCGTGCATATGTGCATGCTGTAGTGTTGTTTATATTTCTGACCCATAGCTGTTGCTAGACTCTCGTTTGGTCTTTCACCTTAAAGGATTAGTTCACCTCAAAGTAAAAATTTCCTGATAATTTACTCACCCCAATGTCATCCAAGATGTTCATGTCTTTCTTTGTTCAGTGGAAAATAAATTAAGTTTTTTGAGGAAAACATGTCAGGATTTTTCTCCACACAATGGACTTTATTGGTAATCAAATTGTCCAAATCAATGTTCAAAGGGCTCTGCACAATCCCAGCTGAGGAGGTCTTATTTAGTAAAACAATCGGCCAATTACTAAAAAAAAAAAAAAAAAAAAAAAAATTGATATACTTTAACCATGGACAGTAAAAGAAATGGACATAGCGACCCCATGGATTTCAATGGAGAAAAATGAAGCCCGTTTAAAGCTGATAGCCAGACTACTGCGTGCGCAGGCTCAAACTGAGCTGGTCACGTGAGCAACCAGTTGTGAAATTTAGTGATTGAAATCGGAATAATTAAAAACGGCTCCTATGGGGCCGTAACGTAAGATACAAAGTAATGGAGCATTTTATACATTGTCGTGTTTCTTTAGAAATAAATAATGGACAAATGAAGTCTTTGGACGCATCAGATGTAAAGTTATTCGCTGTCAAAGTGACGCCAAAATGAATGGGAGTCAATGGGATGCTAACAGCAGGTGAAGTTCTGCTACAATGGCGGCTCCCGCGAGGCTTCAGCTTCCGGCTGATGGATTACCCCCTTCAATTAGAATTATTAACTTATAATAAACCAATCTGTCACATTATCACCACTAAGCACAGACAACGGACTGATTGAAGGTAGCCTGTGTCATCTATTGCGCTCTTCCTGTCTATGACAGAATTTTAGCTTTGACTTTTAATGTCCTTGCTAAAGTCCGTGTAAATGAACAGCATGTGTAGCCTATGTGGATGCATGTGATTTATTCTGCGGGCATTGTGTGTGCGTGTGTTTAAATGTGTGCTGTGGGCGTTGCTGAAGCACTGATCCATGCAAAACCACACTGGCACAACACTGCCCTTTATGCCAACCACAGTCCTACGGCTCTGGCTTTCTTTTGCTTACAACACAAGAATCTTCTCTTATCTATCTATCTATCTATCTATCTATCTATCTATCTATCTATCTATCTATCTATCTATCTATCTATCTATCTATCTATCTATCTATCTATCTATCTATCTATCTATCTATCTATCTATCTATCTATCTATCTATCTATCTATCTATCTATCTATATCCATCCATATATCAATCCATCCATCCATCCAATCACCAAATTTTCAGTAATCCTACATAACATTCTCTAAATTAATGCAATTGACCCAAAATATTGAAATGAAATATTGAAATATGAATAACTAATTATGTATAGTCATTCTTTTTCTTGTGAGCTTTTTGAAAATAAAAAAAGTTTCAAAAATGTAGCCTAGGATAGTTTGCTTGTTTTGCTAAATAATTTTGTCAGATACTAACCTAAAGAGATAGTTCACGCAAGACTTTCGTCCATCTATAGAACATATGAAGATGTTTTTGATGAAATGTGAGAGATTTTTGTCCCTGTCGGGAGCTAATTTGATGCTTCATAGAGATCGTAAAACGAATCTATGAATCAAGTAGCCTGGATGCCAGCCCGAACTCCGCCCACATTTTTTGGTCGGGAAGTTCGGTCTGGACTCGATCCATTGAGGAGAAATTATGATCAGACAAGAAAAGTTTGGGCCAATCAAATTGCCAGGACGGGCTTTATACGAAGATGGACAGGGGATCTGCAAGGACGTAATCATCATGTTATCAAAGAGCGCTTAACTGGTTTCCCTCAGAGACTGCAGCTGGAGAATTGAGATGTATAGATTCCGCTGTCACGTCTGTTGTGAAATAAATCGACAGCGCATTAATTTTCAGCTGGCTCCAATGGTCGCTAAGAAGATGGGACGTAATGAAAAGCCTGTGGTCGTTGTGGTTTCTCCTTTGGTCGCACTCATAGAGGAGTAAGTAAAAGAAGCAACACTCGTTATTTAACTTCTAAAATAAGTAAGTTCTGTAGTTGACAACTGTATACAAATTAGTTAACTTACTGCGTTGCTCTGATTGGTTGTAGGTCTACCGACTATCCAATTGAGTGCAGAGTTTTTTTTTTCCTGGTTCGGTTAAGACACGCCTCATAATCAAAGCCCTACGGAGCAGTATCAGACTCACATTCTGACTAGAATATGAGTATGACGAAGTCAGGCTATGAATCAAGTGAAAGTGGTGTAGCCTACTCCAAATTTTGCTTTATATGAGGAACAGACTGAATTTAGGTTTTTATTCAAATAAACATTCATCAACTGACATAGGCTATCAGTTGTGTTAAACGGAAGTTCAAGCACATTCGCTTGAAGTGTGAGACGAGAACAAGGTTCGCGTGTTACATAGCAGTGTTTAAATGTGAATAAAAGAAATCTGTTCATCATAAAGCAACGAGTCTCTTCAGACAATTTGGACTAATCCTAATATTTTCTAAATATTTTGATGGTTTAATCGAACTCATGGAAAAACAAAGAATTGTTTTGAATAGGCTTACACGTCAGCACAATATACACTTTTTATGCTTTGTTCATCACATGACTGATGGTTGTCAGCCTAAGAGGACAACAAGGATTTTCTTTTTCGTGTATATTTAAAATATATACAGTATAAAAAACGAACTGAGCAAAACTGACCTCCAAAATAGGTAGTTTCTTTTGAACCCATAAGTAGCTTTGACTTTTACAATGGCATCACTGTCTGTAGGTTTGACTCAGTCAAAGCAACAAACCCAAGAGTGTTCAAGTAAGGTAAATCACAGGTGCATACAGTAACCTATTTAACGAACGGGAAACTTACTATCAACAGAAAGAAAGCAAAACTGCGTGGCGCCATCTAGTGGCTGACATTAAATTTGTTTGAAAAACTATATGAGAAACTCCACATCATGAAATAAGAGATGATAATAATAACTTTTTCATCTTCTTTTGTTGTCTTCTCACGCAAATCTATGACTGTAGTCTTTCCTCACACACAGGCACAGGCAAACACATCACATACAGAGCATGATTGTTTTATTCATTTAAAAAATGTATATTACAGATGCAATATACATAATCTCATTTGTTAATGTTATGTAGAAATTTAAAAAGGAAAGAATATTTAAGACATAAATTTAACTTTTTTTGAGAAAAAGTTTTAAATAAACCTAAACCTAGTCTATAAATAAAGGTTTAAAGATTTCGAAGTGTGTTCATATTTCTCCTCATTTAAGCATCTGTTAAATGAATATATGTAAATGTTCGAGCAATCTGAAAGTGATGGTCTGAGCAGACTACTGCAGTGTACAATGAGGGTCATAAGGAGCTTGGACTCCTTGGAGTGCATTTATAGCATATTGCACAGCAATGTAAACAATAACTAATAATCATAGAGCAGCACAGTCCTGATCCCTGAGAGGGACAACAGAAAAATCAAAGAAAATATGTTAAATATAAATATAGTGTCAAAACATTTAACACACGCACACACACACACACACACACACACACACACAAAGAGAGAGAGAGAGAGAGAGAGAGAGAGAGAGACCTTTCTCAGACAAAATCAAATAAAACAAAACCCATAAATGAAACAAAAAAGACAAAAACTTAATGTACAAAAAAGTAAAAGGTTGAATTTGAAGCACAAACATTTAAAGTTTACAAACAGCTAGATTGTATTGAACAGAGGTTCCAAACTGTATTTTGACTACCACAAAAGCTGCTATGACCCCCAACATCAGTGAATAACCAAGATGAAATCAGGATGGATAATTTCATTTTTAAATTATGCTAATGAACAGTAATCAGCAGTCTAAACGTAAAAGCCACTGGTACAGAAATACTCACTGCAGACAGAAAATCTGGCACAGTGAGGGTTACAGGGTCCTGGCTGAGTTTAGTCGTGTCAGTCATCTAGAAAGTCCAGGTCAGGGTAAGAGCTGCTCATGTATTCAATGAAGTCAAACTCTGGCACCTGGAACTCAACATTCTTCCAGTACTTGCAAGGGACTTTGCCATGAGGAGTATTCAAGGAAAAGTTCTTTATTTTCAAACAGGGGAGTATTGCCACCCTCTTGAATTTAATCTCCAATCCCCATTCCTGAGAGAGAGAGAGATAGAAAGAGAGAGAAAAAGTAGGTCACTATACTTTGTATGTTTATTTGCATAATATAATCTATTCTTCTTTTCTTTCTTTTTTTTTTTAACCTGTCCACATTTACTGCAGCTGATAACCCGTCCAGGCTCCCAATCTTCAAAAGTCCTCTCCAGAACTACTTGCCCACCAGTTTTATAAAACCTCCTATGAAATAGACAAACACAAACATGTTCGTTTATAATCACAGTCGGAATTATGTAAATTATGTTTTTGTGAACTTTTCTATTTATCAAATTATCCTGAAAAAATTAATTGCGGTTTCCACAAAAAAACTGTTCTGAAGATTGATAATAATAAGAAATGTATCTTGAGCATCAAATCATCTTAGAATGATTTTCTGAAGGATCATGTGACACCGAAGACTGGGGTAATGATGCTGAAAATACATTACATTTTAAAATATATTTAAATACAAAAGTTAATTTAAATTGTAACAATTTTTTTTACAGTATTACTATTTATACTGTATTTCTGATCAAACAAATGCCGCTTTGGGGAGCATATGAGACTTCTTTGCAAGCTTGTGTACAGTGCATCATTAAAATATTCATCACTATTCTACATTTTCCAGAATTATTTGGTCTGTGAGATTGACAGTGAAGTACTGAGGACTAACTCACTTAAACTCAGGGTTGATATTGACATGGTGTGAATTCTCTATCGTTTTTATATCTTCTCCACTGCAGACACGAAGGAAACATCCTCTGCAATGAAGCTGAACCTCAGCAGGACTGTAGCGCTGCTTCCTCGCATCCTTTTTCTTCTCAGTTTCAAGCCGAATAAGAATAGACATTTGTTGGAGTTTAGATATCTAACAAGCAGAAAGAGAAACGTTTTTTAGGCAATGAAATTTGAATACTTTGACTTTTTCTATTATATGACCAACAAAGACTTGCAAACCTTGATTCTGAACTCCCTGGGACTCATTCTCTGTACTTGGTCAATAGCTTTTGAGGTCAGACTTTCTAGATACTCATTGGTCAATTCCTTGCGCATTTCACGCCCACCTTCTTCAGCCACCACTGAGTAGACGCTGTTCTCAGCCCGAGCCCGCCCACTGGCTTGCTGCTGAGCGATCTCATTGGTCAACAGGCCGTAACGTACAACTAAGTTGCATTCTGGAATATCAAGTCCTTCCTCGGCCACACTGGTAGAGATGAGGAGGTTGAGGAATCCTTCTCTAAACTCATGGATGGTCTTCTTCTGTTCATTCTAAGAACAAATTAAAAACAGACACATACTGTGTATACTAAGTTATTAGCAGATTCATAATTAGTCTGTATTCCCTTCTGTAGATACTAGACGTTTCTCAACTAAACACGACCAACAACTGCTTTAGAAGATCTAGGGAAACCATTTGAGATGTTTTCTTGCTGTACCTGGTTCATGTGTTCGGCACCGGTACCCGTTCCAGTGAGAATGCCAGCAGTGATTTTCACCTTCAGCAGCTCATGGTTGGAGTTCACCCAGTCATACAGACAATGTGTGCCCTTGCGCGTCTTCGAGAAGAGTATACCGCGAGACTTTTTTTCTCTAAACTCTTCCAGCAGCACCACTTGCAACTGGGCCAGTTTGGGGTTTTCGTAGCGGGCATCCAATGCCAGTTGTTTTAGCTCCACGCGGTTCTCTGAGTAGTAAGAGCAGAAAAATCAATCTTTGCTAATCAATTTGAGTTAACACAGACATATTAATAATACAAATAAAGGGAAAGTTTGAATATGTACAAATGGAATTGAGATTTAAAGCTACACTGTGTGATTTTTACCCCCATCTAGCGGTGAGAAGTTATATGACCATCCAGTGAATATTAGTTTCTATTTCTCTCAATTCCGATTTCGTTTTAACTCCTACGGTGGCCAATGCAGTCCAAGATTAACATGGCTTCCAGTTCGACCTCGTCCATGAGTGTTAACTCAAACATAAACTTGACATAAGCTTGAATAAACGGGTATGTCCCTCTTTGGCTAATGTACTTTCAAGATGGAGGGGCAACATGGCGACCGACATTAGAACCCCTTACCCGTATGTATTTTCAATGGCATATTATACACTCACGAGAATACTTTATTACTTGAACGAAGTAAATGTACATTAATGAGCACATATATAAGTGTTTTTAGCTAAGAATAAACTAAAAGAGTTACACAGTGTAGCTTTAAGCAGAAAGCAATATACTCAGTGAACTTTAATTTCGACTTGGAATATGGTGCACAAATCATGTGTACTGCATTTCTGGTGCTGTTTTTGGCCAATAATTATATCCATATTATGGAAATTACCCTTAAAATGTAATGCTATTTTATCTAAATAAATTAAAAATGAATCAAAAGAATGCAAACAATGGTTTTAAATGCTACTTGTGAATTTGAACATCACAACATTATAACTTACAATATAAAAATAGTTATCCACTTTGAGATTGGCTAAAGATTACATTTAATAGTGTTAAGTTATTAGTATTTTTTAAAGACTAACTTTAAATCAGTGTAAAAATAGGGGTAATGAGGAGGCACAAGTAAATTTACAATTCAATACTGACTAATGCGATACAAAAGGTATAACACTGGCCCATAACGATTTGGTACAGATATATTTTTGTCGTTTTTGAAAATGAACAGTCCGCAATTAAATGTTTTCATTGTTATTAGGAATTTTTTGATTTTACATAAGGGAAGATACAAGGTATACAGGTTTGGTGAATAGTAAAAAAATCCACACCATCAAAAAGTCCCTGTAGAAAGAAGTCTGTTCCATCCAGCAATTTGTTTTTCCTTGAATTGTAGAACTCGTCCAGAACGTTGAATGCGTCCACCATGCGAACGGTGTCGTTAATGAGAAGAGCATCGTTGTATTTCCGCAGATGCAGTGCACACTGAGCGATCAGTCTGTTCTCTTCTATTACACCTGATCCAAAAACATACCATCAAATCAAGCCATTTTTTTTTTTTTGCAGGGGATTTGGAATGTACAACTCCAAAGTTGTAGTTGCAATGACATCTAACCTTTTTTCTCTAGTTCCACCACATCAGCTTCATATTCCTGTGTGCCCCTATCCCGCAGGCTACGGCTCACCGTTGATGGCATGAACTCATGAATCATTGACATCATTAACTTCAAGTGGTCCGCAAATGGATCCTGTTGACACAAACAAACATACACATATTTTGGTCATTGAACGTTCAAGCAGTTGTGCAGTATGGCATTATGACTGAGGTGCAGTCTCTGGAAGCGAATGGAGAACAGTACCAGAGCTCTTTTTTCAACAATGTCATATTGCTTTTTGGGTCTAGGGACGACTTTCTTGAGCGCTGGTGTATAATTCTTGGTGGACACAATTACTGAATCCAGATTGGCACAGATCTGAAAATGAGAGAGAAAGAGTACGAATTTGGTTAAGTAACACTTTACAATATGGTCTCATTTATTAATGCATTAAATAACATGAACAATGAGAAATATATACTTTTTTAAACCTTTGTTAATGTTAGTTTATAAAAATGTATTAATGTTAACAGATACACATTTCAATCCTAAAATATATTAGCAAATGTCGAGATTATCATTATTAAAGAAATAGAAAGAACAATCGAAACATTATTGTAAAGTGTTACCATTAATTCATAAAGCAAAACACTTCTATTGTTTTTGTTACGAAATTTTTGTAAGCAATTTATCTATATTTTTGGTTTCTAATCTCCACATGCACACACACACACACACCTGCAAGACATGTTCCACAGCTTTATCCAGTGATTTATTTCCTCCTGTACCAGGTGATGCCGTGAGGCCCAAAACCTGTGGCAGCTTCCCTTCTTTTCTCACTTTCTTCTCCACATAGCGGCCCATAATCTTGTTATAGACATTTTCCTTTTGCGTGTGGTGACATTCATCTATGACCAACAGGGTGAAGTCTAAATAGAAACAATTTAATTAGAGACTATTTATTTTTTGTAAGTAACAAAACATTTACAGTTGTAATCGAAATGATTCAACCCTATTGTAAATCAGGTATACTGGCAAATTGACAGCTGTTTCAACTAATAATAGCCCAACACAACAAATGTTTCAAGTGGTTACCCCAAATTCAAATTTTAATGATTTCTGAGGTCTCAAAATTATTCGACCCCCTGAATCTGCAAAACAGGTGTTGTCACAAACACACCTTATGCAACTAATCAAGGGCTTTATTAGTTGCGCAAGGTGTGCTTGAGCTAGAACACATGAAATATCTGAACTGACTAGGTTTGTTGAGTGTCACGTTTGACTGCATGTTAGAAATGTGGCTAAGTCAAAACATTGAAAACTACAAAGATATTTTTGATCCAGTCAAGACAAGACATGTACAATGGGCTATATGCACGCATAAGTTCCGCATTTGACGTAAGGATGCTCTTCCAGTTTCGGTTGGGGAGATTAAAGCGGAGGAAAACCGAGGAAAACGGGATTATGGCAGAGTCTTCAAAATTTACTGTCCTCCAATCTTTGAAATGAAACGTACATACGTTTAGATGTAATTTTATATATAGTTATATTTATTTAATATAATTTTAAAAAGAAGCATAAACACAACGAGGGGTGTCTGTTTTATCTGTTTTTGTGACTAACGTTTCTTTAGTATAACCATGGAGTATAAAATTCAATATAAATTCTCGGTATTGTATTGGACTCTATGATCGGCGGAAGTTATCGAGCATCCTTAATCCTTCACCGGAAATACCGCCGTGCATAGAGCCCATGGGGGTGGTTTACAGCTAGGGTAATGCTCTATAGGCTATATGCACGCATAAGTTCCACATTTGACGCAAAGATGCTCTTCAGTTTCGGTTGGGGAGATTAAAGCGGAGGAAAACCGAGGAAAACGGGATTATGGAAGAGTCTTTAAAATTTACTGTCCTCCCGTCTTTGAAACGAAACTTTAATAGGTTTAGATGTAATTTTATGTATAGTTATGTTTATTTAATATAATAAAAAAGGAAGCACAAACAAAATGAGGGATGTCTGTTTTGTCTGTTTTTGTGACTAACGTTTCTTTATAGCCATAGAGTATAAAAACCAATATAAATTATCGGTATTGCGTTGGACTCTACGATCGGTGGAAGTTATCAAGCATCCTTAGACCTTCACCGGAAATAACGCCATGCATAGAGCCCATTGGATAATAGTATGTGACAGTATTTATGTAAAGAGACACTTTTTTACATTTATGTACTATTTTGCTGTGTGTTACAAAATCATCAGTTACCTGTGAGATCTACGTGTTTTTCCTCCTCCGTGCTGTTCAGGGCGTTCTCCAAAATCTGAGCCGTGCAGATGACCAGGTCTGAGTCCTTGACCAGACGCCCAAATAATTCCTTGTCACAGCTGTCCCCACTGATGGGCTTTATCTTGTATGGCTTCCCAAGATGAACGTTGAATTCTTTGTTATAGTGCTGGTCTACCAGGTGCACCTGGGAACAATGAAAATACAAACTCAGCATGCAAATCCAAAGAAAAAGATACAAACAATATTATGCAGAGACCCAGTGTAATTGAGCAGTGATCTGGCTTCACCTTGTTGACGAGCACTGCCACTTTGGCATTGGCTGTAGTCTCCAGGTGTTTCTTGGCAACATAAACAGCAGCTCGGGTTTTTCCTCCACCAGTGGGCAGCCAGATGATGCTGTTCTCCCCCTTTAGAGCCGTCTGCACCACTTCCTCCTGGTATGATCTAAGAGCGATCTCCATCTACATTCACACAGTTACCAAAACACAGTGGAGGCCATTTACTTTTATTCAAAAATGGTTAGTGTTTATGTACACTCTTCAATGGGGTTCTATATATGGGGTTCTTGACTCAATTCAATAAAGAACTCTTTGTTTACGAGCTGTTCAATTCATAAAGTTTTGTTATACAATGAATGACACAGTTCATGCTGATTCGGGCACAAAAATGCATCAAGTCAAGTCACGTGCTGTTACGTGCTGGTAATAGGGATATCTGGATTGCAGTTATTATTACAGTATGTATTATTATTATATACAGTATTATTATGGAAAAAGTGAACAAAACGATAGAATGTTTTAGACCTTTTGGGAACTTTCATAACTTTATTACAATAATTTAAAGGTGAAATGGTACTAGTAGCTTTTCCTGTAATGTTTTTGTGCTCTGTTTACTACTTGTGGTCTAATCATGAAGCTAATAATGAATATTCCATGTTAAAAACATCAAAGCTACTACTCTGCTTATGGTTTTGTACAAGACTAGAAATTAGATCAAATACATTTCTGAAGTGTCAGTAGATTCACGACTCACCGGTGCTGCCATCACTGTCGTGGCGAGAGGTCTATGCTACTTTGGAGAGTTTTGCTCTTTAAACCGTCCCTTTATGAGCCTGCTGAGCAGAAAAACGAAACCAAAAACAGAGAAAGGGCCCAGGAGGAGGAGACAAATGACATACAACAAAAGAGGAGCTAAATTCAATGACAGCAGGTGTCTGTAGGCTGAGAAATGAAGTATAAGAAATGAAAGAATTTTTCTAATTCGCTTTTGTACTTTGATTGTCTCTTGGACACCAGTAATGTGGACATCTGAAACAGAATTTGAGTTTTGTAAATGTGAAGAGAATCATAGGCAGACGCTGCACTGAGAAAGTAATGGAGAGACCTTGATGGGGCCCTATTTTGCAGTCAGTGATGTTAGGAAACGAAAACTTAAGAAACTGTCTTTGTCATTTGCCTCTTAATCATCCAAACAAACACATTATGGAAACTGAAACAAATCTGTGTGGAGGTTCTAGACACTCTTTGTTACTAGATACTATATTGTAAAGGTTGAACCCCTTAAATTTAAACACATTTACCAAAAAATCTTAGTTTTTCAAACTAATTAAGGTTAAAAAAGATTTTAAAATTAAGTAAATAAATATACATTGTTAAACTTAATAAAACTGTATCTAGTGATTGTATTGCAAAATATGACAATTTGCAAACTCAGGATGATTAATTCCAGTAATTAATTTTCAGCATCGTTACTCCAGTCTTCAGTGTCACATGATCCTTCAGAAATAATTCTAATGCTGATTTACTGCTCAAAAAACATTTCTAATTATTATCGATGTTGGTAACAGCTAAATATTTTTGTGAAAACTATAATGGATTTCCAAACATATATTCTTTATTCAAAAGAACAGGATATATTTGGAAGATTTACTTTTGTAAATAAACACCTCACTATATAAACTATACATATAAGCTAACCACAGACTCTTTTTTTATTTTCTGTTCAATTATACGATTGTATAATCTCTTTTTGCGTGATTCAGAATTCGAAAGGCTCAAATAAGCATCACTTCTCAGCAAGGCAAACTTAGATAAATTTGTTTATTAAAAAAAAAAAAAAAAAACGGAATTATAGTACACAGAATAGTTGCAATTTACATGCATCATCCAAATGTAACCATATCCAAACGCTTTCTATTACGCCCATCTGTCCTGTTCATGAAAAGGGTCATCAGTGACCCACAGTAAATCCAAAAATAAAGAACCCTGAAATACATCAACATTGCAGCAGTTTGTTAAAGTCATGTTTCAAGTAAATGCCCATCACGAGACTGAAAAAAACCCAGCTGTCCTGTCTCATGTGTGTGAGCGTTAAACTAACAGAGAACATGCGGTGTGACAGAAATCACACATGTATTTGGATATAAAGATTTGTGCAGTAGTCGCGGAAAAGGTGTTTTGCAGCTACGATTGAAATGGAAATAGTTGTTCATGGTCCCAAATGGGTGTAAAAACTGAATGCTTACGCCTGGGGCCATGACACACTGAAAGCTTCCAAAGACAGCAAATATTGGTTTGTGAACAAAGATAAACACTTCACAATGGCAACTGACAAAGCAAAATGGACAGAAGTAATTTCCCAGGAGAAAAAAAACATTTGATTATTGTTGTTTGAAGTGATCAGTCATGGAATGAGGCATCTTTTCCAATAAAAGTCATTGACGGAACTCAACAAAGAAAGTATGATTTACCTCATATTGTCAGATTTGTACTAAATGGATACATCCTGTATAGGACTGACCGGCTGCTTCAAACAGCTTTGGGCGAGAAGGGTGACATCACTAGAGGCCGGATATTGTCCATCTTTGGCTGCAGCATCTCAGGTCAAAAGGGAAATTCACAGGATATAACTTTAAGTTACACAACTGAATGTTTGTGTATGTAGAGGGACAGCTTGCAGTGTGTGCATGAGTCATTCGTTTTATGGCGGAGGATAGGAAAGAAGAACTGAACTGCTAATGGTGATTTCTGTCTAAGCTAACACCCACAAGCTAACGCCCACATCAAACACTTTCAGTTTTCATTTTGCCTTAATGCACTGGCATGGCCGAGTCATACACATGAATATAACCTTGAGTTTTATAACTATATTGTATAAGGGAAAAGTAACAGAAAGCAGCAACTTTAGACAGGTTTGGATGTTGTTCATCCAAATGAAACGTGTGTGTGTGTGTGATCACACTCTCTATATATTCTAACTGGTCCCTTGTTCTAGGCTAGAAGCCAGTTACTTGTCAATGAGCCCGGCCTCTTTCAGTTTGAAGTAGAAAAACTTCTCCAGTGTGTTGGCACACTTGCAGTACTCGCTGTCTGGAGGGTTGTACTCTCTGCAGTTCGTGATCACTCGCTGCAGGTCGGCGATAAAGAGCTTTTTAGTCACATAATATCGGTTCTTCAGACGCTCCGTCATGGTTTTCAAGTCTAAGGAAGAGAGGTTTATTCAACTGGATGCAATTTGATTTAGTTAAAACTATAGATGTTAACAGCATAATATTGCCTGTCCAGCTAGTCTGACTAATTCAATAGCGGCTTGAAATCTCATTACTGTATATGCAGATCACATCAGTACCCACCAATGGGGAAACGGATGACCTCATAATAGTCAGGAGCTTCAGATTTCTTCACCGGCTCCATGAAAGGCCAGGAGTCTGGATGCGTCTGTTAACACACAAATGAGATGGTGAGAATGTAACAGAATATTGTGTTGTTAATGCGTTTAGATGAATGTGTGTGCGAGTGTGACAACAGGCCTCTTACTTTAATCTGTGCGAGAAGATTCTTTAACATGTTGTAAAGCAGATCGGGATCTTTCAGCTCTTTACTGCAGAGATCAAATAAGAGAGAATGATGGATACATGCAGGGAACAAAAATAATTGTACTTGTAACATTACTTGCTTTTGACCAGTCTCAGTTACTCGCTGGTGGTTGGTAACTTTACTAGGAACTGTAATGAGACCGGCTCATCTCATATACAACACACCAGGTATAAAATTTCACATTAAAACATACTCTTATAAGTAAACACAGTTTTCATTGCAATTAAAAATCCCTGTGTACACATTCACTACCATTAAAAAGTGTTTTTGAAAGAAGTTTCTTATGCTTACCAATTATTTGTTAAAAATACAGCAAGTTGTCAGTGATATTGTAAAATATTAAATAAGTGTTTTTTATTTGAATATAATTTATAATGTAATTTATTCCTGTGATGGCAAAGCAGAATTTCAGCGTCATTACTTACTACTGTAACTGCATTACATTACTTACATTACTGCTGCTCAAGAAACATTTACTATTATTATCAATGTTGAAAATAGTTGTGCTGCTTAATATTTTTGTGGAAACAGTGATACATTTTTTTGACGAAGAGAAAGTTCAAAAGAACAGCATTTATTTGAAATCTTTTGAAAAACATTCTTAATGTCTTCTCTACTGTCACTTTTGATTAATTTAATGCATCCTTGCTGAATAAAAGTATCAATTCCCTCAATAAAATCTTACGGACCCTAAACGGGAGTGTGCACAACATGCTATCACTGTAAAATCATCAATGAGATGTTTTAATACAGACACACAGATGGTCTCAGATTTCAGAATAAATATGCATAAATTCTCCTCTGACCTTTTCTCCTTGGCACTAGGCTTCCAACCAGTCTCTCCTTAAGAAGACAAAAAGGAGGGAGAGTGCATGTGTGAATGGAAGGATTTTGTGGGTGCATTAAAGCCACTACTGTGAGACGAGCACAAACTTACTGATGCCTGGTATACTCTCCACAGGAATCTGCCGCACACCCTCTTTAAAGCAGGTGAGACCAGGATACACTTTCCTGATCTGATTCTGTTTCCTCTCGATCAGTTTCTTGATTATCTATAGCAGACGACAACAAACCCATATGACTGGAAGTCATTACACTGTAAGAAAGACTGTCTGAAATTGACAAACGGTATAAGACAGGGTTCCTGCACACTTTTTAAAGTCAAATTTAAAGCTTTTTAAGACCTTAAGAAATCAAATTTAATACCGAACATTGGGGTGTGCAATATTGACAAAAATGTATCTCGATATTTCGTTTTGTTCAACGTTTTGTTACTTGATACTTTACTGATTGTGTTTTTGTGCTGGTGCATAGCAAGGCCTGTTGGACAGCTGACTCCCGAAGATATTCATATTTTCATATTCTACGCAGTGGTCAGTTCACAGCAGATGTTAGAAATTAATATATTTATTAAAGGGCAACTTTTGCAACCTTAAATTGATTTTCCAGGGGGATTTTCACCTATATATGGATGGACATTTTTTTCTAAAATTATTTAGAGTTATGCATCACCTTTGTCAAATACTAACATTCAATTATACTTATTTATACAATAATACATTATTATTCAATAATTATACAGTACCACTGCTACCAGTCAAATTAAATCATTCAATCAAAATCAATCTTTACAATGCAGAGGAGACACAGAAGAGGCATCAGAAGTGGCATTTATATATTTACACTCCATTTCAATTGCATAAATAAAGCTATGAGAAAGTTGTTTTTTTCATCAATATTTAAATATGAAATGATTTCTAATTTTAACGTTTTAATTAAAGTATACTTTAAATTTGAAACAAAAACCGTCAGTAGGCGGTGGCAAGTCTGCGTCCCAATTCGCATACTATCCGTCTTAAATAGTATTTCGAAAATAGAATTAGTACGTCCCAAATCATAGTATGTTGAAATGAGTGTTCTAAAGAGACCCGGATGGTCTACGATATCCGGTCAGAATCCGAAGTGCAGATATGTAAGGGGTCATTTAATGGTACATGCACTTTTACAAGTTGATTGTACTGAAATGTGTGTTGGCAGTGCCTGTACACAAGCATCATATAATGATAAAAACCTATCCAGTGTTTTTGTTTTAATCTTCTTATATGTTTTCCCCTGCCTCAAATTGAGCCGTTTGTTTTTGTGACGTCAATAAAACGGACACCCCTCCCATGATTGTTGATTGACAGCAGCGTTTCAACAAAGACCGCACTGAGCAAGCTGTCATCATATGGCACTTTTCCACTGCATGGTACGGTACGGCTCGGCTCGCTATGGGTCACTTGTGGCGCTTTTCCACAGCATGGTACGGTACCGAACTGTACTGATCCGTAACAGCAGTGAAAAAAGATTCTCAAGCAGGGGGAAATGAGTGCACTCTCACCTCTTTCTGTCTCTTTATGATGTGTGAGAGTTCGGTGTAGGGTATTCTGGGATTGAGTTCGCACTCCATCAGCGTGGCTCCCTCGTAGTCTTTGATGTAACCAAGGTAGCGGCTCTTCGGTACTTTGATGTCTTTGGAGAAGCCCTACCGACAAATAGAGGGGTCAACAGATATAGTTGTGCAGTGGAAAAACAGGAAATTACAAGTGAGGCTGGTGGAGTCTGTACTGTCTGGAGCTGTACCTGTTTCTTGAAGTAGCCGATTGCATATTCGTCTGCATAAGTGAGAAAGTACAAAATGCTGTGCTTGATGTGGTACTCCTTAAGATGATTCATCAGGTGTGTGCCGTAGCCCTAAACATGAACACAAAAAGATTATCAAGAAATCAAGTGAAAGACATCAGTTAAGCTCACAGCAAACGGACTATTTATTTAGCTTACAACATAAAGGGAGTGTAAGTTCACCCCAAAAAAATAAATAAAATTGTCATTAATTACTTATCCTCATGTCGTTCCAAACCTGAAAGATTTTTGTTCATCGTTGGAACACAAATTAAGATATTTTAAATGAAATCTGAGCGATTTATGTCCCTCCATTGACAGCTACACTACAAAAGTTCATAAAGAGATCGTAAGATCTGAGCGAAAATAAAGCGATTGTGTCTCTTCCGAAAATTTGGACTAAACCGCTCAATTCATTTGGATTATTTTTACAATCTCTTAATGAACTTTTTGAAGCGTCAAAGTGGTAGTTGTGTGGCTGTCTATGGAGGGACAGACATCTCTCAGATTTCATCAAAAACATTTTCATTTATGTTCCAAAAATAAACAAATGTCTATTCTCGAGACATTTCGACTCTATTCTCGAAATATTTAATTTAATCTCAAAATTTCATCTCAAAATATAATTTTTTTTTTAATAAAGAGTATCGATACATTAATTAACCAAGATTCATTTTGCAAGAACTGCATGTTCTTCAATTTAAAAAAAAAAGGAAAAAGTAATATTGAGTTGAGGTGTTTAAGCATTTTAATTTAGAGTTCAATAAATAATTTATTAATTTAAAATCTTAAATTAAAGAGACAGGTGGTCTCCCTGTCCCCCTGGTTGAGAGCCACTGGTTTAGAGTCATTGAGCCTCCATTGAGTGCGTCTCCGTACCTTGACCTGCTCGTTGGAGGTGACCGCACAGAAGACGATCTCTGTGAATCCCTGAGTGGGGAACATCCTGAAGCAGATCCCTCCAATCACACGGCCATCTTTAATCAGAGCCAAGGTCTTGTGCTTCCTGTGATCAAACAGAGGGAGCAGGATCAATAGAGGCTGAGGAAGCTTGCAAAACACAAAACCTGACCACAGCTAAAGATTTAGGTAAGTAGTGGGTTCTTTGGGAAAAGGAAGCAGTCACTGCAAACTTACGGGTCAAACACAAGACGTGTGATGTACTCTTTGGGCATGCGGGGAAGTTGATGGGAGAAAACATTTTGCAAGCCCACGAGCCACATTAGAATCTTCTTATTGGACTTCTGAGAGAGAGAGTTACCAATCACATGGAACTCAATGATGCCTCTCCTCTCCTCCAGACGAGCCGTCTCATCACGGGCTGCGTTTGCAGACAACAGACTAGTCTGGGAAACCAGAAAACAGAGTAGAAGATTAAATTTTACTATTTAACTGTAAACGCAAAACCGAAAATCCTCATGCTACATTATTAAGGCTATCATATGGGTGTGATAAATTCTGACCTCTGGCCCCAGCATGGCAGCAGGGTCTGTGATGGTTTTCATGACTTCATTGACCAGTTCCATTGGGATGTCACCCATCACTCGGATCCGCTTGGCGTCCTCCAGAGTCAGTGCCTCAGGAAGCTTACGTTTCTCTCCTGAGAGACAATGCATTACACACTGTTACGAGAGACTGACATAAGTTCTTAAGTCAACCGTAAGTGTTCTCAACTCTGACCCTTGAGATGCACTTCCCTGCAGAGTTTACCTCCAACCCTGATTAGCTTGTTCATGTGTTTGATTCGAGTCGGAACTGAACTCTACAGGAAAATGGACCTCGATTGCCAGAGTTGAAAACCCTGGTCTTCTGCAAATATGAGTGTATACTTAAAATTGTAATGCAAATGAACAGAGCACAGTACAGCGCAAAGTAAATGAATCTGCAACTTGATCTTGATCTTACCGGTTATTGGTTCAGAGGAAGCAATGTCCAAACCCGTAACACCTAGAGCAGAACCGCTGCTGCCCTTACTGAGAGGAGAGCCAGACACTGAGACGGGACTCAGTACTAAGATAATAAGAGAAGGGGTTTGAAGCAACAGTCTAAAAAAATCATGTCAAGCCAAGTCCCTATGGTGGCTAACGCACCAGCAGAAGCATTACAGTTTTCTGTCTTCACAAATTTTATTTTGTGCTGTGAGAATTGCTTTATGACTCCATAACAACTGTGCATTAATACAGAGTAGCATGCCAAATTGAATATTAAAACCAAGACCATTTAAAAGAGGCTGAGCTGGGACACAAATCTTGTCTGGATTATTGAATGTTTGGGGAATCAAACTATAAATTGCCAGACAATGGATAACACATTAATCTGAGACAACATTTTTTTAACAAGAACCTCTTAAAAGATAAAAACAATTTACTCTAGCCTTTATTGACATAGAATGCATTATGGTGGCAGTCTACTTGTCATCTTTACTTATTTTTATGTTTTTAGTAATTAATATAGTTCAATTAACTAAAACCATAGGTTGTTGAAGTTAGCTTATTTTGAAACCATTATTAGGGTGATGTAGCCTAAAATTTGTGAATAAAGACACATGTCATTATTGAATTTTTAAAATCAATTTAAATTTGAGAAAGCTGTTGTTACATGACGAACACGCACCTGTTTGATGCCCCAGTTGTGTCCCCTCTGAAGCTGGCATGGTGAAGTCTGCCTCCCAAATGGGGGAGTTTTCTCCATAGATTTCTTCTTCCAACATGGAAAGAAACCTAACAAGCACACACACAAACATAATCAATTGGACTGTGTGAGAGTGCCGGTTTTAAAGCAGGTATTGATACAAAGGTCTTACTTGGGGAAGTGTGTGAGGATCAGAGTGCGTTTCTCTGGAGGGAGCTTGTCTTTCTCCACTCTGAACTTCTCCAGTAGCTGCCTGCGGGTGACGGTGAAGATGGACTTCAGGAGACTGCGGCCGAACACCTGACAGGTCTCGTACCGTGGCAAGCTGTCGTTGCTCTGAGGAACGTGACAGTAACACAGCCACCTGAAACACACACACAAAAACTAATTCCCAAAATTGTAATTGTCTTGATTTATACACATAAAAAAATATAATGATGAATTTTTAAATGTTTTGAAAGAAATCTCACCAAGGCTGCATTTTGTATGATCAAAAATACAGTAAAAACTGAGAATTTAATTACATTTATTAATTAATTTACAGTAAATATTTGAATGCATTAAAAACAAAACATACAGAGCCCAAAACTTTTGAACGGTCTATAATGATTTAATAATTTATTTATTTTTTAAATAAAAATTATGCTTTCAAATCATGCTAACTGTATTACAAAATAAATGTATAAATAAATGCCTTATCTCAAATGAGTGAATCGATCACCTTTTCCTCTTTACAACTAATTATAGTGCAACTTTTAGCACCAGTTACAGCATTTATATGTATTAGTGATGTGTGACTTACAGTTATATCTGCAAACATTGCGGATAATCCGCGGGTCAGGTGGGCCAACTTAAAAAATAACATTACAATTGATTGTGTGTGGATAAGAGACAAATCATTAATGAATTGATTTTAATGAAGACACTGAACACTCATTTCAAAGTAAAACGCAACGAACGAGCGTCACTCTTTTTACTTTCATTTTAACCAACAATGTATATAGCCTCTCTCTTCAGGGAAAACCAATAAAGGAAAACATATACCCAGTGCCAGAGTTTTACTAAAATAGTTAGCCAGGACGAATTAAGTGCTAGTTATGTGATACGTAGCGGTGTGTGAAGCGCTGTATATGAAAAACTAATAAAGCCTATATCCAGCCTCTACTTGGGCAGAACGGATCTAATTTCTTGTTCGGGAAGTTGCAGAGACATTTCAATTTAAGTTTGAAGGGAGTAAAGCCTGTGTTTAGAAAATGCCAAATGACATTTTGCCAAAGAAGAACATTAAAGGGCACCTATTATGGAAAATTCACTTTTACATGGTGTTTGAACATAAATGTGTGTTGGCAGTGTGTGAGCAAAACCACCCTAGAATGATAAAAATCCATCCAGTAGTTTTTTTACAATCTCAATAAATCATATGCACTGCCTCAGAACGAGCTGTTCTGAGATCCAGGTCTTTGTGACGTAGAACGGGAGACAGGGGGTTGATTGACAGTGTGGCTGTGGCCTAGACCCCGCCCTCGGTGATCTGTACACACCATCCTTCATTGTTTCAACGACGACAGCCGGTAATGTCTCTTGGAAACGTAAATTTATGTTCTGTCGTGGACTCGTGGGTTAATCCTGTTGTTGTGGCTTAAAAGTTAATCCTCAAGTGTGGATTGTCGTCTACTGTTCGCGATCCACCGTCACCTCCAGTAACAGTACGTGCATTTTATGATTTTTGAGCAAATAGTCTTTTCAGTCAATGTCAGCCAATTCAATAACAAATGCGTCTAAAGTTATTGCCGTCATAGGATGTCTGTGTATATAATTTAAAACCTTGTTTGTATAGTGTGTAACCACACGTTTATAAATATATATATTTTTAAAGATATTGTATTAAAAACTGCATATGTTGGTGTTCTGTAAGTTAGCCATCTTCTCACATTTGCCACAGAAGCACCTATGACAAGTAGCTAAACATGACGCCACAGGTCCCTCGCATAAATGTAATTTCGCTCGTACGTTGCAAACTTTATCACAGAATGTATATGTAGTTTCAAAAAATTGCGCTAGTGTCTGTGTGTGTGTGTTGGACATCCATCATTTCAAATGGGACGCGATTACAACTCTAAAGTACATAAAAGTATCAAATAACCATACCGAGACGTACTGGTCCATTCTCATTTGTTTATTCTGCCGGAGTCTCTTCATACTATTTAAATATTCCGATTCAAACGTACTCTGAATGACATTCAATACGGCGCGTCTCTTCACTCTCTCAGTACCGACTGCCTGCCATAGGTATCAAGTTACGCCCTCATCCAATGGCAGGGCGGGGATATGCAGCTCATTTGCATTTAAGGTGGAATACCCCCTGAAACCGCTCATTTTTAAGCAGGCCCCAAAATGACATTTTCAAATGGTTATAATAAATTAACTGTGGGGTATTTTGAGCTGAAACTTCACAAATACATTCTGGGGACACCAGAGACCAATATTACATCTTGTAAAAAGGGGCAAAACAGGCTATTTTCATGTAATATGCTAGCCTATAACGTGAGAATTTGAATAATTGTAATGTGACGATTGGGTGCGGATATCTAAATCAGAGAAAAGAATAGGTTTGGGTGGGTGGCGTGTGGATGATTTATTTTTTAGCAGTGGATTTGGGTGACATTAGAGCTGATCTGCTGATATAACCTAGAAACAAACACTTATTTACACATGTTAACTCAAACACACACACACACACACACACACCTAGTATAATCAACTTTGTATGCGGCTGCATCCTCTTTCTGAGCCCTCTGACGGAACTGTGATGGAGTCTCCAGCTTCCAGTAGTTCAGACAGAGCAGAAACATCTTACTGAGCTCATACATGGTCTGCCTCTCCTTAGGCGCCAAATGACTGAACTTATACTGAACAAAGTTCAACACCCCCTGAGACAGAGAGAGAGATCTTGAGTGCAGAACTGTGCATCAAATGAAAAAAAAAAACTTTTTCATGGAATGTGACTGGCAGAAAGCTTTGCTTGTGACACACACTTTTTCATATACAACATACATACTTGTTCTATGTTGGGTTTTTCAAAGGGAGGGCTACCGAGAGAGCCTTCCACCAAAGGCTTCCCCATCTGCAGGATACACTTCCTCAGCAACTAAGAAAAGAAACAAACATCCAACAAACAACATTTAAAAATGTGAAATATTCACCTGACAAATGAACACATTTTTTTAAAAGGCTTCTCAACATGTTAGGAACTCATCTGGAGCATGCCTGCACTTTCAAAAAATGAAGGAAGCAGATCTCAATTGCCCAGTTACCTTGAACAAATAAAAGTAGACTTGCTTGGTGTCCGTGTCTTCTTCTTTATGAACAGACATGAAGAGATTCTCCACATCCACCACCATCCCTAACAACCGGTTAATCTCCTCCTCAGACACATTCTCCAGGTGAGACACATGTTCTGCTAAAAATCAACAGATAAGAGAATGTGAACACCACCTGAAGTAATAATAATAACAAGCGTTATATGATGTAAATACACTGTTAACATATACTGGCATGTATAACCACAAAGGCATGACATATACTTCATAAATCCATGTAGGTAGATACTTGCTACTTTACATTTCAGAGCCACTTTAATATTGTTTTGCGTATTTATTAAACAGACTTTGTCCATGGATTACACCTTGCAGCATCTGGAACTTTTAGATATCAGTCTATGTAAGTTCTGTTATGAGGATGGCTGATGAACCCAATAGCAGACAGCAGATGATGTGCAAAGGGGTTTATTTGTGACAAACAGGAAAATAAAACCCACGAGGGGGCAAAACAAGGCAGGGTAGAACACACCAGACTAAGACTTGAAACTAAGACAGAAACAAAACTACAACATGAACAGACTCTTCTCAAATAACAGCTTACTCAATGAATTACTCACAGCTTGAAACATGCAACATCAAACAATGAACCGACCCAGGACAGCAAACACAAGGGGATAAAATAGGGAACACTAATGACGAGGACAGGTGAAGCTGACTAGACAATGAAGCACTAGACGAGGATAACAAGGGGGCGGGGTAACTTAACGAGACAACACAAGCACATGGCCCAAACAGGCCATGCGCTTGCACACAAAACATGATTCTGTCATGATCCTGCCTCACGACTAGAGGAATTCAAGGACAAGAAGGCAGAATCATGACAGAACCCCCACCTTAAGGAGCGGCTTCCAGACGCTCCTCAAGGGGACATTAAACACGGGACATGACAGACTGTGACAAAGACACAAACCAACAGTACATGGCAAAAACTAACAAGGGCATACAAGAATACACAATGACAGGGTTGGGGTGGAATATCAAAAAGAACATACAATGCAGAGGAGGTGGAGGAAACACAGAGTCTTTGCTTGACAGTCCAGGGTGGGTGGGCGGGACAGGGGTCCTGGGACCACGGGGAGTGGGCTTAGGACAAGAGGACCGAGCAGGCTTGGGAGGAGAGTTGTGGGACAAGGGAAAAACAGTCCGGGGTTGAGCCATGACAGGGGAAACAAACGGAAGTCCAGGAACAGTGGGGACCGGGACAAATGGGGAAACAGACCGGGAATTGGAGGAGCCAGGGGAGACCAGAACAGACGGGGATGCAGCTGGCCTGGGATCAGCATCTAAGTCAGCTGGCTTAGGACCAGCGCTCACTGCAGTTGGACTGCGATCACGACTCTCACTAGATGACTTGAGAACGGTGCTCTGTGCAACAGGCTTGGGATCAGTGAAGACTGCAGCTGGCTTGGGATCTGTGCTCGGTGTAGCAGACTTGGGATCAGTGAAGACTGCAGCTGGCTTGGGATCAGTGCTCGGTGTAGCAGACTTGGGATCAGCGAAGACTGCAGCTGGCTTGGGATCTGTGCTCTGTATAGCATCTGAAACAGGGACTGGGGACGAGACAGGACTGACTGGGACATCAAGAATTCTGGCCAGACGGGATAAATACTCGGACAGGGTTCTGGCAGCGATGATGACTGGCATCTGCTGATGAGCCGAAACGGACTGTACCACCGCCCTTGCAGCGGAATCGACTGCTGCTCTCTCTTCTGCAGACACGGCAGAAGACTCAGAGACGACATTCACAGTACAAGTCTCTGGAATGGATCTCCCCAACGCCGACTGGGAAAAGGCGCTTTCTGCAGCAGGTTGTAGAACGGCGTCTCCTGTTGCAACAACCGGAGCCACACTTACAGCAGCAGGACAGGGAACAGCGCTTCCGACTTCAGCGGCGGGTTGGAGAGCCATCACGGGCTCAGGAGGGGGTAGAGACGGAGAACCAGAAGGTCCTTTCCTCCTCTTCTTCCTCCTGGGTCGTGGGGCGGAGTAGGTAGCCAGACTAGTGACCGGAGAGGGGGGTGAAACAGGAACTGTTACCGGAACAGGTGAGCTCACTGCAGGCGAGGAGGATTCCGGGCAGGAAGACTCTGATGCGGACTCCCATGACGGGTGCCTTCCACGCTTACCATGAAGACTGATGGACGTGGAAGGTGTCTCAGGAGTCGCGGCAAGACTGGGTTGGTCCCCAAGTGTAGCAACGGCTAACAGACGACCCTCAGGGATCACAGGAAGTGTAGCGGGAGATGAAGACCTTGTAGCACCCTGCAGCTCCCTCTGTGACAGACTGTCCACCATCTTGTGGAACGGGCGGCTGACCAGTCGCTCACGTTCAGCTAGAGGAGGATGGACGTTAAGACCCGCGATGAAGTAGCGGTTGACCAGAATCTCCGGCAAGAAAAACCTCCTCTTGTCCACGACCTGGGCGTACTTCCTCAGGGTCAACTCTCCCTGAGGAGGGAAAGGAAGCTTGCCTTCCAGGCTGTCGGTGATGGCCGACTGCCACCATTGTTCGGGGTCTGACGGCTGCAGAGTAGGATAAATAGGCTTGCTGTCTGCTGGGTTTCTTACTGTTCGGTTCATTCTGTCATGGAGATGGCTGATGAACCCAATAGCAGACAGCAGATGATGTGCAAAGGGGTTTATTTGTGACAAACAGGAAAATAAAACCCACGAGGGGGCAAAACAAGGCAGGGTAGAACACACCAGACTAAGACTTGAAACTAAGACAGAAACAAAACTACAACATGAACAGACTCTTCTCAAATAACAGCTTACTCAATGAATTACTCACAGCTTGAAACATGCAACATCAAACAATGAACCGACCCAGGACAGCAAACACAAGGGGATAAAATAGGGAACACTAATGACGAGGACAGGTGAAGCTGACTAGACAATGAAGCACTAGACGAGGATAACAAGGGGGCGGGGTAACTTAACGAGACAACACAAGCACATGGCCCAAACAGGCCATGCGCTTGCACACAAAACATGATTCTGTCATGATCCTGCCTCACGACTAGAGGAATTCAAGGACAAGAAGGCAGAATCATGACAAGTAAGCTATGGAATACAGCAATCGGGTTCCAGAAAAAAAAAAAAAAAACAGACATATTTTATTGTTAATTATTGGTATATTAGTTTCAGAATAACGTGCTGGGTAGTAACGGATTACCTGTAATCTGGATAAAATAATCGGATTCAAAAGTAGGTACTTGTAATTAGATCATGGTGCAATAGGATCCCGGCAGACAAGCAATGATTATGTCAAAGATCAAATAATGTGAATAAAAAATAACACATTTATTAAGTAAAAATTATGTTTTGGTCTAATATGAAAAGGTCAAACAGACTTATCAATTGTGTCATAGTTGATGTGACGGCTAGGTCAGAGTGACTAGTCAAATGTCAAAGAAAGAGGAAAATAGATGTAGGTGTTGATGTTTTGACACCTTTAAAACCATTAAGAGTTATCTCATGTCTGCAGAAATGCAAATAGACACATTTTGATACAAAGGTTTTCTCGTATTTGAGGCGTGGTTTACGAATGCCCAGAGCCGTATTATTGGGTGCTACGAATGTCTATCAAATGCGCCTGTACGTAGCTCATAGCCAATCGTTTCAATAATCCCAGATGTGTGTAGAGCGAAAGAAAATTAGACGAAGAAGACACCGTATCTAAGACGCTCTGTATCCCAGAGGCTGTATCAAAAGTTAACCAAGATGGATCCATAGATATAAACAAACTACTTCTGTTTGTCGCATGTACGTCGTCATCGTCTTGCCGCTCCCTCCCCGTTCTGTGATTGGTTCACTATCTCAGGTGAAAATTTGATTCATGATGTCCAGGCTGCCAAGCAGCGTGAATAAAATTGCGCTGCGGCAAGGCAGCATGGGGAAACCCAGACTACATTTGACCACTCAATTTAGAGAAATCATTTTACTTTTGTAGCGTTACAAATTTATATAAATGTTAATTTAGTTTCCAATACTGTAGAATATCAACTGAGGAAGTTTATTAGTGTGAATTTAGCAACTAAGGTAAATTATGTCACAAACCTGCGTGTTCCTTTCTGTCCAGATATCTCTATTTTAAGTTAAATTGATCAGAGCACTGCGCTCGGATGAAGGAACTAAATAATACTTTTGTGTTCATTTGTACATCCGAAAACTGATCAACTGGCACGCTTCGCTCGTTTGCAAGCCAGGATATTTCTAGAGGTAAAACTCAAAATCACGTTCGCGCATTCGTACTTCCTAGCTCATTTTCTGATGGGCAAGCCAAATTCTCTGGGTGGGCAAAGCAGAGGAAGGGGAGGTTACCTTTCTTCCATATGACGTTATACAGGGGAGATTCAAGATCAGCCTGTCTGAGCTTTCATTTTCTCAAAGGCAGAAAAAGATAGCCAAAGCTCAGTTTACACTGATTGAAATTTCTAGCCACTGCGGACCATATACAGGCAAGGAAAACTCATATTAGTGTTATAAAAAAAAAAACAGAATGCGAAAATTTCATGTCAGTGAATTTAAACTCCTTTTAAGAGATCCCTATTCAAAAAATGCTTACGGAACCAAGACCACTTAAAAAGCGGCTGACATTGTTGCACTCTATTATGCAACACAAGACTATTTGGATGATGGGTCTGATATTAGTGTGCTGTAATAGAACCACCATAGAGGCACTAATCTTACCCAAAGAGTGTCCACAGCTTCGGCAAGCCTCGGTCAGACTGGCTGCCTGCTGCTGGAGCTCCATACGAGCAGCTGTTGGCGGATTGGGGTTTTTCCAACCATTACATTTACAAGCATCATTCGCCTATGATTAGAGAACACAACTGTGATTAAAAAAAACTGTCAATGAAGACAGTAAACATCAGGTTAAATTAGAGGTTGATGAGGTGGATATTGTCAAAACATTCATAATGATAAGTATGCAGTGGTAACAGTGATAAAATGGTAACACATAATAAAATGTGATATACTAAAGCGCACCTAATGTAAGGCGCATGTTATAAAAACATACAATAATGCATTCAATTATCCACCATATTTTGGCAGCATTTCTGCACTAATTCTGCATATTAGGAAGGAGTCATTATCCAAGGAAGGAGGTTTTCAAAGTCTTGTGTTTCTTATTTTCTAGCCTTGAATCGTCTGCAGTCCTTTATTATTTGTATTCTTCCCAGGGAACATATGTGACTAACTAGTTTGCAGACTGTTAGAGTGGCATTGACACATGAAAGGCCCGGGCACTCGCTCTATTGTTATGAGCCAAGCTCTCGGTTACCTTGCAGGAGGAAAACACTCCGAGTTTCTCAAGCTTTTTAGCCCGCGGAAACGAGCGGACTTGGGCTTTCTTCTGGCTGGACCATTGCTGTTGACTCAGGCCTGGTCGGGCCGGGTCGCTGCTTCCGGCTCCGGGGTTTGGGTTGGACCCTGCCGAGCCGCTGGACTGAGCTTGCTGAAGCCGGGGCTGCGCGGAGGTCTGTGCCGCCGGGTCCGCCATATCAGCAGCCTCGCTTCCCCTCCTAGAATCGCCGCACACACTTCCACCCTGTGCTGTTTCAATAAAGTTTTGTGATAGTTTTCGTCGATACGCTGTCTGACCACTGCATTGCGCGTGCGCAAAATGGGGAATGCTAGGAGATGTAGTTTTACAATCAGTACTACAGAATAAAACGATACGATGCTTTCCACTGGGGGGCATTAAACACTTGAGCTATTTATTTACAGTCTATACAGCTACCTATTATTGTACTATATCACTTTAAAAGCGGAGAAAATAAGCGTATTTATTAAATTGTTTAGGACTGGCCCGTTGCATAGCCACTAAATTAAGTCTAAACTAGAAATTAGTTAGGGCATTTGCCCTTTTTACGTAAATGACTTATTACCCGTCTTAAAGAAAACAAAATAGATAACTAAATTGTAAGACTAATCCAAGCAGTAAATGCAACCGTCCACGGGTCTGGTTGAGTTTTACAGACAGGGTTTAGATTTTAGAGGCCTTAGATCAATTGGGGCATTTAAGTAGCTTTTATAAACATGGTTTAGAAAAATCATTATTGGTGTCCATCTTGAGACAAAAAACTATTTTAGCAAAATGCACTTTAATATGTTTCAAAACTAGTGAGCTTAATACATTAGCTGACTGATTTTTTTTTTTTTTTTTAGAAAAATAACAAAAGGTAAATAGATGTACACTTACGATGATTTCGGTTCAGTTATTATTTACGGCTCTAGGCCTTACAAACAAAAAAAATTGGTTCATTTCATTCATTTAGATCAAATATCATTGATAAAAAGGAAACTCATGTGTATTTAACTATTAGCTAGATTTAAGTCTCATGATGAGCCTTAAAGGGGCACAATATTTTTTTCTCCCCATTAAAAAGTTGCACACCCAAATAAATGCAGTAATTTTGTAACTGACATATAAAATCAAACCACCCAGATGAGAACAAGACTTCAATCATATCTGCAACATTATAAAAATTGTCTATTGTACATGGAGAGGGTTTTTAGTAATCTAATCTCAGTAATTAGATATATAATTAATTAAATCTCAGTAACCACACTGTTATTAAACACTTTCAATCATGGATTAACTTAATCATGATTGATTGTAAAGTGACTTCCTACAATAGCATCAGTGGCTCGAAACTACTGCATTTAGTGCAAGTTCAAAAAGACTGCCAGCACAACACAGAGTAAACCTCTATCCATGATGCTCCCTCCACAGGAGCAAAGAAATGCATATTCGAGAATCATAATGAAATAGAGCACCTTTTAAATTAATTTAGTAATGGTGAATAATTAAGGACCAGGTCTCTGTTCCCAACCTTATTTGTAGGTAGGAATAAGAAAACACCTCCAACTCACCACCTACGTTTAGAAATAACAATACTACAAACAGAAATGTATACCTTCCCCTCCTTTATTGGTAAAATTACAAGTTCTACAAGGTTTGTGTTTTTCCATTTATTTGCCTTTCTCCATTACGTCCCTCGTTCCACAGACCCTGCTTGAAACTTCTGGGTCACTGTTCACATGTGTGCTTGTGCTATGTCACAAGTGATGCTGAAAATGCCGGTCGAAATAGACGTCCTTCGACATAAAACAGGAGGGAACAATATTGACAAAAAATGACGTTGTCAGAGGACAAAGAAATACCCAGTGCACTCTTAATAGACCTTAAGTACAAAATAGTGCTGAATTAAAATTGCTAATGATTGGGGACATTTTCACGGAAAAGAAAAAAAAAAGTACAGGAACAGCAACATTATCTCCCCCCACCCCTTCCCTCCCCCCTCACCCCTCGTAAATATTTGGGAATTTGGTCAGAGGAGGCTGATTTTGCCTTGTGTAATTCATATGTATTTTCTCATTTGTCTGAATGATTTCAAAAACATTTCATTAATGCAAAGAAAAAAAAAAAAAAAGAAAAACACATTGGAGTTATACCACCTGTTAATGCATTTAGATACAAGTAGATATATGTAAATGATTAGAAAAAAAGTCTAGCCTATCAAATCATATACTTGTTTCAATTGTGCTGGAGTAGTGGACGCCTGAGAGACTAATACAATAGAAATAATACAGGATCTATAGAACAGCCTGACAGATGGAAAATAGCCTCTTTTCTCATTCTCCAATCTTTCCTCTCCGACTAAGAAGGAGAGCAGGAGAAAGATGAGATGTAACTCAATACTGGCAGTATGCATCCACCAAAAGGGAGAGCACAATTAAATAGTGACGTCACCACTAGATTTTTCATACAAATGAGAGCATAAGGAAATACAAGGGAGAGACAACTTGTATTCCCACCAGCAGCAGTCTGGAATTTCTTTCGTTTTAAGAGCGATTGGTTAGATCGGATCACGCGTGTCTCTTTTCTGTTTTGTCAAACCTATATAAGACAAATCATAGGTGGCAGACACATGTCATAGCTTCTGTGTGTGTGTATCTGAATGTTTGCATGTCGTGTTCTTAGGAGGGATAAATGGTCGAAACATTAATGTGTTGATTTACAAGGGTATCAATGGCCTGTTTCCAGTTCTGAAGCTCTAACTGGCCATAGTTTAGAGCTGGGTCATAATTGAATGGATCTCACACTATGGATTCATACTGTGTTGTGTCTGTATCAGTCCTTGTGTGCATCTGCCAGCTGATTGGTCCAATGGTTAGTTGCCGCCTCCACAGCACTGGCCGCTTCTGCCCTGAGGTGCTGTCTCCTGCAAGTCGACACCTCCTCTGGCCCGTCCACCACTGCCCGCCCCACCCTGCGGTTCGTTCTTCGGAAGCTTCTTGGCTACAGAATTTTTGAGAAGAAGACATTTATTCATAAACATACTAGGTTGCTTTGATCTGAACTAAATCAACAGCAGTATTTGAAGGATTAGGTGTGGCGTATAGAGGAGCGTCTTTGCTGCAGGTGAAACTGGTGTCAAGTTGCTGTGTTTTGCTCTGTGCTTGAAGAGAATCAACAACAGAGATGAGATCGTACCAATAGCCATGAAGATCTCGTTCACGTTCATAGCGGTCTTCGCTGACGTTTCCATGAAGAGTAGGCTGTTGTCGTCTGCGTACGCCTGCGCCTCCTAAAGAAAGCGTGCGGATGAGTTGAAAACGTTTGGAAGCAGATTTACAGAGGCTGTTTTGCGTTCGTCTAAACTTACCTGAAAGTCAACGGCTCTCTTGTTGGCCAGGTCTGCCTTGTTGCCAGCCAGAGCAATGACGATATTTGGACTTGCCTGACGCTGCAACTCCTTCACCCAGTTCTTTGCTCTAGTGAACGTGTCCTAAAACACAAAAACAGTAGGAACTGTTAAACAAAACAGAAAGAAAAAGAGTCTGATGAAAAGTTAAGGACCAGTCATTGTGTGTAGATCAACAGAAGCCTCTAAAGTGAACTGTGGTATTCTTGAACTTGCTCGATTGGATTTGAGCACATACAGAGTCATGGGTGACTTCTCAATTTAATGTGTTTATTTACTGCAATTAATCATTCTTATGTATTTAACCAAGCCCCTGTCCCGACACAAACTCGTAACTTGCTGTCTAAATGCAAAGCATGATGAGAATGTATATTCAATGCTTTACCTGCTTGCAACAATGTAATGTCTATTTAATACAACATGTACCATTATAATATACATGGAAAGGTTTGGGGTCAGTATTTATGTATTCAAATTTATATCACAAAATGAATACTTTTATTCAGCAAGGATGCACTAATTTGAATGAAACTGACAGTATAATGTTAAAAAAGTTTTCCCATTACAAATAAATGCTGTTCTTTTGAACATTCTATTCATCATAGAATTCTGAAAGTAAAAAGAACAAAAATATTAAGCAGAATAACTTTAATATATTAAATTTAGACGTTAATATTACTAAGAATTGTTTCTTTAGCAGCAAATCAGGATATTAGAAGAATCATGCAACACTGGAGTATTGATGCTGAAAATTCAGCTTTGCCATATATTTATAAGGAACTTATTAACACATGCATATTCCTGTTTTTTTTTTTTAAGAAAATACAGTATTTTACATTACAATTCAATTAAAAAAGCCGGTATTTAAGTTTCATTAACAACAAAAAGCCATACATCTAATACACACATTAGCTTAAAGTCCCCCTGTAGTCAATAAACTTCATATTTGATCACCAAAATGACATATTAAACATTTTATCCATGAAAAATAAATTCTTCATGTCTTAACCCTTGTGCATTGTTCAAATTCACTACCCTTTCGTTATGTTCGTGGCTGAAAAAAGCCACTACTTTAAACTGCTGTAAAAATGTATCAGATAAATATTTTTTTCAATTTTTTTTGCATAAATCTATTAACCGACCTCAGTCCTGATCAAAACTACTAAATGTTTTTAAAAAATTCAGGATTTTAACTCTTTAATTGCCAAATTCATAAATGATGTCACTGATTTGGGGGGAAAAAAAACACAAAATGACTTATTTTTAATATAAAATATGATTGTGGACTGGATTTTTTTTTTACCTTTTATCACAGTCTTGGACATGTCAAAGATTAGAAACAACATTGGTTTTGATGCATTGTTAGTTTTTGTGTAGCATCAGATTTTAACTTTTTCTCCCTCATTTACTGTTCGTGGCTGTTTTTGCCCCATTGACTTCCATTATAACCACATTTTTTGATTGCAAAGCCATGACACCATAAAATCATGCATTTTTGATTGTTGATGGTTTTCCCTGTTGGGAAGAGGTAAAATTTGTAATTTTTACTGTTGATAACCAGGTGGAACCATTTAACCCTTTAGACAGGCCTGTGCAAAAAAAAAGCTTAGTTTCTGGCTTTTACATGGAGTTATATGGAGTATAATAGCATATTACAGTGTGTATATGTGTGTGTGGGTGTGCGTGAGTGTGTGAGAGAGTGTGAGAACTCACCTTGATGCGTCTGAGAAAATAAAAACATACACTTCAGCTCTCAAAACTACATGGAGTAAACAAAAACAAAGTAAGTGTATTTATGCATCTGCTGCCTTTTGATGGTGAGAAATGCAGACTAAACAAAAACAAAGCAAGTGGATATAAACACTTGTCA